CTAGCTCAAAGGGTGAGAGTGCGCCTTATAAACCTCACATTAGTTGCACATACAACTAATGTGGGACTATATATCTCAACACGTCCCCTCACACGAGAGCCCATTGGGCTTGAAGAGTGGATGATGCAACAGGCCCAGCCTACCTGTGCTAAGAAATTCCACAAGAGAAAGTGGGCGGCGGCGAGGCTCTGATACCATGTTCACTGTCTGTCTCAATTCATGCAACATCCAAAACAAATTCCATTATGATGCTGTTATCCGCGTCCTTCGCTATTTCAAAGGTAACCCTGGTCAAGGCATTCTCCTTCACAGCAACTGTGATCTTCAGCTTCGTACATATTGTGACTCAGATTGGGCAAGCTGTCCAATTACTAGACGATCTGTTACTGGTTACTTTGTCACTATAGGTTCCCCTTCTATCTCTTGGAAGACAAAGAAACAACATACTGTGTCTCGCTCTTCTGCCGAAGCAGAATATAGATCAATGGCAAGTGCTACAGCAGAACTTTTATGGCTCAAATCATTTTTGCAATCTCTTGGCCTTCATCATCAACGTCCCATGCAATTGTTCTGTGATAGTCAATCTGCCCTTCACATTGCTTCGAATCCCGTTTTTCATGAACAGACAAAACACATCGAATTAGATTGTCACCGGATATCCTCACTAAGGCACTTGGGCGAAAACAATTCCAATTTTTACTGTCCAAGTTAGGCATTTCATACCTCCATGCTCCAACTTGAGGGGGCGTATCAAGAAAGCTGTAAGAATCTGTAATCAAGCCTTTATTTAAGGCACCTTTATTAGGAGATTCTGTTAATATGTTAGGATTATTAGGAGATTCTGATCAGTTTGTAATTGCTCTTTATTAGGAGATTCTGATCATTTGTAATCAAGCCTTTTTATTTAATTCTGATCATCTGTAATCAAGCCTTTTTATTTAAATGTCAGGGGGGGTTCAGGGAAAGCCCGTGGCGGGGGGCCACCACCATTGAGCTAAGGCTACACCAACCGTAGCAAGTGGATCTGACACCATGTCTCAACCCAAAAACTTAAGACATTGGGTTCATGGGTCCTTCCACTTATATACTGTTCAGTTAGCCCATTACCAACCAATGTGGGACTCATCACACTTGAATACCTAACAATCTCCCCCTCAAGTGTGAAACCCACCATTGGTAAGCTCTCCCTCAACCGAGTACCCCAAGCGCAAAGTACTCGACCCGCCTCCTAGCCAATCACCAGGCTAGCTCGAGCCCAACCCGGCTCTGATACCAATGTCAGGGGGTCCAGGGGAAAGCCCGTGGCGGAGGGCCACCACCAATGAGCTAAGGCTACACCAACCATAGCAAGTGGATCTGACACCATGTCTCAACCCAAAACCTTAAGGCATTGGGTTCATGGGTCCTTCCACTTATATACTCTTCAGTTAGCCCATTACCAACCAATGTGTGACTCATCACACTTGAATATTTAACAATACATATTCCTTATGCGCAAGACCAAGTTAGAGGCTGGATGATGAGAACTGCACCCTTCTCTTATGAAATACTGGGCTACTAAGGAATCACCTTCAAGCCAGACAAAACGGAAACCTTTCCTCCATGCAATCTCAAGCCCAAGGAGACAACCCCAAAGTTCTGCTAACAAAACATTACCACAGCCAAGATTTTTACAAAAGCCAACAAGCCACCTACCATTAGCATTTCTAAATACACCCCCACAAGCAGAAGCTTCTCCATTATTCATACTAGACCCATCCACATTGAGCTTAACCCAAGGATCCGAAGGAAAAACCCAAGAAACTAATTTCTCTTTATTCGAGTTAGTCTCAAGACCAGCAACCCGAAGCGTGTTTTCTGACCAAGGAAATTCTTCACCATAGACCATAGCAGCTCTAAAAGTGCCATAAGCAGGAACAAAAGATCCCTGGAAAATCTTCTTATTCTTAGCTTGCCAAATGAAACAGGAGATGATACCAAACAGAAGAGGCCATGATGGCAAATTGGACCAATTACGATCCTCAGAGATATTGGACAACACCCATTTTGTCTTGTAAACTTTTTAGTCATGTTATTGTTGCTTTTGTCTTGTATATATTTAAATTAATTCCCTTAATCTCTTATGAATGTTAGAATTTAGTATTTATTTTGTTTAATTTTTATCACTAATTATTTTAAGGGTAAAATAAATTTCACGCAATCAATTTAAGATAAACTGTCTTATGATGGCTGTGTTAGGGTCACCAGGTGGGGCCTTCTAGCATCATTATCACGACCGGTGAGCATGGAAATAACATTTCTTGCATCTCCTTCCAAGAGTATTTTCTTTATTCCTAAGGTCCATGCAATTTCTAAACTAGTCAAAGCACCCCAAAGTTCTGCATCAACCGGATTACATATTCTTATATGGCATGAAAAATTCCAGAACCAGCAGTCCCGAGAGTCGCAGATAATGCCTCCCCACCCAGCTTTGCAAGAGATAGTATGAACAGCCCCATCAAAATTCACTTTCATCCAATTTTCTAGCGAAGGCAACCATCTCAGGGGGTTTGGTTCTTGACCATTGTATGTTATCTGGATGTAGGGTCGAACACCAAGCAATTTGGACAGAGGCTATATAGTCAATTATAACATTATGTGGTTGAGCTAGTCTGACATAGGTATCATCACGTAAGGCCATGTCTCTCCGCTTCCACAAGTACCAACATATGACACAAAAATATTGTCTCCAATCCTGGTTCCTTGTATAACCCCAATGGGTTTTTAGAATTTTGTTGAACTATTCCTTTTTGTCCATATGGTAGAATATTAATCTATGTTGTCGGTCCAGCCAGTGATTTCAAACAATTTTGGCAAGAGGGTAATCCCTAAGAACATGAAGTGTACATTACTTTGTTGTACAAATGATTGCATTATTTCAGAAAATATTTTTAAATTTGTATTAATTTAATATTTTAAATTTAAATTTACATTAATTATGTCAGTTTATCCCGTGGAAAGAAAAGAAAAATGTTCCTAGCATGAAATATAATTTAGTTATTCTTTTCATTGTATTAAATATTTTAGTTGAATCAATAACTCACCAAGAATTTTGAATTATATTGGCAAACAAAGACTCAATTATACTTAAATTAAAAAATAATATAGAAATCAACAAAGCCGCACAATTAGTAGGTAGTCGGGTCCCTTAAGCATGTTGATAGGGGTTCAATTCCTGGCTTTGTGTATGGAAAAACTTTGTTAGTAGAGGTAAAATCTACTTCGGTGATCTATACGTCAAAAAAAATATAGAAAAGAAAAATGAAACAAATTTAGGGACACTACAAGACACCCCCTCATGCAAGAGTTTTTTGGACTTCAAGTATGGATATGACACAAATCGATTTTTAGTTTACTTGCGCTTTTATTAATTTCACCTGAAAATAAGGGCAGTGATGATCGAACTCATGACCTCCTAGTTATTCTAATTTGGATACCATGATAAGGAATTACTTTAACCCAAAATCTAAGGGGCCGTTTGGTAGAGGATAAATTTTTTTATGCCCGAGAATCATGATTTATAGGAATATGGTGGAAAAATTATTTTTCCAGGAATGTTACCAAAAAATTTTCTAGCAGGTCAAAATATTACCGAGATTTTGTTTCAAAAAAATTGTAAATTTTTTTCAATACCTGGGATTCTAAGAATTGACATTTTGAAAGAAAATAGTACACAAAACAAATATCGAAAAAATCAGATTCCCGAGAAATTTTTCAAAAATCTTATACTAAACGTGGATAAATAGGATTCCTAGTATTACTTTTCCGGGAATCTCAAAAAAAATTTCCTACCAAACACCCCTAGGTTCTGATGATATATTAATTATTTTATGGGTTTAGTGTTTATCATTTTAAATGACATAATTTTATGTCATTTTTATGAAACTATGTCGTTTTAGTGTGTTTTGTCATTTTCTCTAATTTATAAAATTAGAAATAAAAAGAAAATGGAGGAAATAGAATGTAAAAACTTACCAAAACGAGGTAGTTTCATTAAAAATGACATAATTTTATGTTATTTAAAATGACAAATATTTTCTCCATTTTTTTATATCTTTTGTATCTCTCTACTTAGTTATACTAAAAGGGTTTTCGTTTGTCCTATAACAGGAAAAAGGGAAAGTTTCCCGCAGATACAACATTTCATGGGGTCCGCAATTTACGAAGCAAAAAAAACAAAAAAAAAGGGTATGAAAAACGAATCTCTGTAACATGACATACTAACTTTTCTTGCAACATAACTCTTATAAAATCCTATACTAAAATATATATGTGTTCATTTTTTCTATAATCAATGCAAATAAGTTATTTATACTGAGCCCAAAATAATGTCGTTTTGGGACGGAAATCAAGATATTTATCTCAGGGATATAATAGTTTTACTCAAAATAATTTTTTATTTTTTTGCCCCAAAACGACGTCATTTTGAGAGTGAATGTAGATAACTTATCTATATTATAAACATTAAAACAAATATATATATATATATATATATATATATATATATATATATATATAGACATGATCTTTTTACACCGGTATAAGAGTAATAACTCTTACACTCAATCTTAACGGTTGATTTCCGTCCATCAAACGACTGTAATTAATTACATTATACTCATTAATTAATTATAACCGTTAGATATGCGAAAATCAACGGTTAAGATTGAGTGTAAGAGGTGTAAGTTGATCCTCTCTCTCTCTATATATATATATATATATATATATATATATATATATATATATATATATATATATATAGAATATTCTTACACTGGTGTAAGAGTTAGAAGTCTTACACTCAATCTTGACCATTGATCCACTTGTATCCAATAAAAAATTAGAGCCCTTAGATATAAATGGGATCAACGGATAAGATTGAGAGTGTAACTTATACTGGTGTAAAATGATCCTATATATATATATATATATAAAAGAAAAAAGAAACAAATTTAGGGGAAAAACACACACACTCGTTCACTTGAGAATAGGGATGTGGGGAAACAAATTGGGAGCGTGAGGAGTAAAAGCAGAGAAAAGACACAGACAATAGTCTCCGCCAGTAAGGAGGCTGAGACTAACAGAGCCACTACACTCACTGTAACCGTCACTGCTAACTTCCCAGATCTTCTTCTTCTTTCTCTTCAATCGTTCTTTTCTTCACTCTAATTTTCCTCTTTCTTCTTTGGTGTTAGATCTTCGCCTTTGAACTTAGAGAGCTTCTTTGATGGAACAGGTTAGTGAAACGCATTGCGTTTTGAAGTTCGACTTTCATTTCTTCTTACAAATATGATCGAAATATCCACCGATTCTTTCCCTCTGCTTTGTGAATTATTATTATTAATTTTTTTTTTTTTGCAGTACGAGAAGGTTGAGAAGATAGGTGAAGGAACCTACGGCGTCGTTTACAAGGCTCGTGACCGTGTCACCAACGAGACCATCGCGTTGAAGAAGATTCGCCTGGAGCAGGAAGATGAGGGGGTTCCTAGCACCGCCATTAGAGAAATTTCACTCTTGAAAGAAATGCAGCATAGGAACATTGTTAGGTATTCTGACGAATGTGTTGTTTGTCAATAATGAAATTGATGTGCTAAGAAAGGATGCTATGCATGTAGACGTAGAAATTAGAAAGAAAAAAAAAAAAGGAAGATTAATGTTCAATGTAAGCCTCAACGTCTCAATATGGAGTTCATTGTGTGTTTTATTTTTTTGGTAAATTGATGTTTCTGCATTTTGGAATTTAACTGGTACATGTAGTATAATCATAGATCTGTATAGAACATCAATGTTTAGCATGTAAATTATAATGTGTTGACATGGATAAACTCGTGTATGCTGACGTTGCTGATAGTTTAAGTCTTTTATAATTGAGCAATTCTTAATTTATTTTCCTTTTCATTCCTTTGCTGCATCTTGACAATGGCATCATTCCATATTTTTCATAATTCTGTCCCTGTCTTGGGACACAGCCTGTTTTTGATACCCTAATTCCGTTCAACTAATGTTTATGTTTGGTGGTAAGGCTGTTTGAACATATTATTTGACAGACCATACAGATGTGATTTGTTCATGTAGGTGACATCTGGGCGTCTCAATGATAATGTGAACATTTTCATTGCCAAGTCCTGCTGTTGATCTCACTACAAAGCCCATTACTAATGCCCTAATGGTTTTCTACTCCCAACATAATGTCCCTAAGCAACATAAATTCTATTTGGGCTATTTTAAGGGCTATAGTAAAGACATGCTTGTGGGGTATTATATTATTTATGCCATCAAAATTAGGATTGGATGGCCCTAGAAAATCTGCTTACTCTAAAATTTCCTGCATATCAGCTCCTTTAATCATGTTGCTTCACTTAGTTCATACATTATTGTCCTAATGTTCTACCTTTTTAGCCACTTCCTTATTGAGTTATGGTTGGTGGATATATGGATTACAGGTTGCAGGATGTAGTGCACAGTGAGAAGCGATTGTATCTGGTTTTTGAGTACCTTGACTTAGATCTGAAGAAGCACATGGATTCATCTCCAGAATTTGCAAAAGATCTGCGACAAGTAAAAGTGTGTGACTTCTCTATTTTTTTTCTGTGGAGATTTTTGAGCTTTTTGTGACCGAAGTTATTTTTATAAGTGAGCAAGAAATACAAGTCAGCCATCAATTGTATGGTTTTCTTTTCCTTTGTCTTGTCTTTCCATAAATTAAATGAACCAAATATGAGAGTCAATGATGATTAAATAACCTTATGGTTGGCAACATAACTATAGCTTGTCGATATGCAGGTCCATACGTATTGTGCATTTCTCTTGAATTTTATGATGAATTACAAGTTACTTGGATAGCAGTTGATTGGTGTGATGTCCATAAAAGTTTCCTGTTTCTGAAGATGAGTGATGGGTAGATTAAGTTTGGGCTTTAGCATTTGATTGGGGCTGTTAAGTGCTTATTGAAACGGAAGGTGCAAAAGTGGAATTCTCTGTTAAGAAAAAATATACTAGGTCAATAAGCTAATTATATCTTATATATATTCTGAGTTCTGTAGCATTCAGAGTAGTCAACCATGGTAGTTCATTGTACTAACTACTATCAGGCCACTATGTCATGTTGCTTGAATTCCCTGCGATGCCCTAAGCAGCGCGTCATGTTTTGATGTAGTAACCATCGAGGCCTTAAATCGCGACCCCTACTTTCATGCGAACACAACTTTGCCCCTTTCTGTTGTGTCCAATCTAGTTTTTAGGGCATTTTGGTTTTTCCTTTGTCTTCTCCACTCCCCCTCTGATATGAATGATCCGGGGACATGTTTAATGACTACCTCCAAGCAGCCCTAGTGTTTTCCAGTCAAACCCATCTTTTTTGGGGCAGTGGCATCCTCTGCTCTCAGGTCTTTGCTTTGTTGCCTCTGTTTTGCATAGCTTCTTCTCTTTCACATCGCTCTGATCTCTGTTTCGCACAGTCCCTTATTTTTTTAATATTTGAGTGCATTGATGTGTAAGCTCACTATTCCTTTTTTTTTTTTTTGGGGGTACATAGATGTGCTAATATCCAGACTTGTTAGACAATTTTATTTGTTATTTGCTCAGTTTCAGCAATTTTTCCCAGCCACTGTTGTTTTATTTATAGTCATGCCCATTTCCTGTTTCAATTTTGTGCTGTTTGATTAATGACTTGTTAGTTATGCCTTACATTAATAGTGATTGTGTGTCTAAAGTCTAAACTATGTCTTCCAATTTTTTAATTTTATGTCTTTTTTTTTTATTGTGTAGTATAAATTATGTCTTGTATCCATAATTGTCAATATAGGGGCCATCGTAATGTTTTTGGGTCTGCCGCTCTGCGCCACTATCTAGATTGACAACTATGGTAGCATGTTTTTCAAATATTATCTGAAGTAGTTGATTAAAAAAGAGCTCTACTTTGTTGATTCAAGTCGCTGTATGGTACTGTATTGCCTGCCTCCTCTGTTTTGAACTACCTGAGCATGAACAGATTTGTATTACTATCCTGTTAACTACCCTTCCCATTGTTAGTATGTTTGATCATAACTAAGTATTTCCACCTTATTATGCATCATTAAAATGAATATATTTTATCCTAGATTCTAAAAGAGATGAGGTAATGTTGGCAAAGATAACCAGTTAATATTGAATTTGAATTGTTTAATGATCTTTTGTGCAGATGTTCCTTTATCAAATTCTCTGTGGCATTGCTTACTGTCATTCACATAGAGTTCTTCATCGAGACTTGAAACCACAAAATTTGTTGATAGACCGCAGCACTAATGCACTGAAGCTTGCAGATTTTGGATTGGCTAGGGCATTTGGAATTCCTGTCAGGACCTTTACACATGAGGTTTGTGACTTTTTGTGCTACCTTATATCGGCTTTCTCAATGGAGATAATCAAAATTTGAAACTAATGGGCCTGTGTACAAGAAAAGAAATATGTACTCCTAAGTCCTACCGCACTTCAAAGTTTGAAACTTTTGTAACTCCAATCTTTTGTAGTTGTCTTGTTCCAACTGTTCTTTCTGGAGCTAGACTGAACTTAATCATAGGATGGTTATCAGAGTTGTAAGAAGTAGACATTCCACCCCCTCCCCCCTAATTTTGCAGATCAAAGTAAGGAAATTGCTTCGTCTGGAACTCTAAAAGATTATTGATCAGTTTCATGTTATCTGTCTAACAAATATTCAGATTGCTTCCTTTCTCATAAATTTGAAAATTGAATTACATGAAACATATAAGTTGGTTGTAAGAGTTCCAAAATGTGGGAAGCAAGAATGGTTGGTCCATTGTTCTTTTTGCTATTTGTCAGGCATATAGTATTGTCTTGATTTTTTTGCATAAATTTTTTTATTATATTGATTGATTTATAGGAGTAGATACTTTATGAAACATATAAATCTTGTGAAAAGGTATTATTGTAGATGGACTTTAATAAACTCTTTTTTTATTACTGTTTTTGCGTTATAGTTTTGGCAATTGCTTGTAGGTGGTGACACTGTGGTACAGAGCTCCGGAAATATTGCTTGGATCCCGTCATTACTCTACCCCAGTTGATATTTGGTCAGTGGGATGCATATTTGCAGAGATGGTAAACCAACTACCACTTTTCCCTGGGGACTCTGAGATTGATGAATTGTTTAAAATATTCAGGTGAATAGTTTTTTGCCATAAGTTTTACAGTTCTTTGGAAATCATATTAAATTCTGTCAGCAAAGAACATGACAAAGAATGCCCCCAAAATTCCGTTAACAGTCTCTAGACTTAAAATGACAGTATGGCATAAATATGTACTGGTATCTTTCAATTGTTCATGGATCTTAAGGATTGGGATGTTGCAAATATTTTTCAACTTTTATTTTAGAGTTTTTTACTCTTGATAGGGTTCTGATTGAAAAATCTGAACACTATATGTAATACTTTGATGGGTCAATGCAAATAATATGTATGTGATATGATGTCTCTGGTCCTTGTTTTCTACTTTAACATTTGTCAGAGCTTTAAGACACAAGTGGAATCTTTCGGTAGTTATCAGGATAAACTTGGATTTGTGGCAATGCTTTAACCACTTAGGAGATTTGAGAGGCAAAATGGAGGAAATCCTTTTAGAGATTTACCGTATACTTGATGTGTGGTCGTTGGATAGTATGGAGGAATAGAATTTTCTGAGTATTTGGTGGTCAAAATGTATAGTTTTAACTTTTAGTGGATTCTCTTTCATGGTGTCCATTAGTTGTGTTAGATTGTGCAGCAGCTAGTTATATTCCTTATTGGCTTTCTGGTATATTTGTTGAGGTGTGGGCATGCCATCAATATTTAGAGCGTTTTCTTTTGATTAAATAATGAGGTTTTGGCCATTCTATGGAGGGTAAAGTTTTATCAGCACCTGCCAAGTATGATGCCTTTTGATATTGTAAAGCGCCAATTCAACCCAAAAAGTTAAGTTTTTAAGTGATGACCACATTAATTGTTTTATATTAATATCTCTAACACGCCTTCTTATGCAAGAGTCATTTGGCTTGAAGTGCGGATAATGCACAATATATAAAGCAACCAATTCAATCCAACAATTAAGCTTTTGGACTGAATTGGCGTTTTACATTGTATTAGAGCCTCTGTGATTAAGTGGTGAGTTTGATCCTCACCTCCCTCATTCTATTAATAAATAATTAAATATTGTTAAGCTTTTGGATTGAATTGGCGTTTTACATTGTATTAGAGCCTCTGTGATTAAGTGGTGAGTTTGATCCTCACCTCCCTCATTCTATTAATAAATAATTAAATATTGTGGAGTTTCTTAGTACATGTAAGTGAACTTGTGCATTGTCCATCCTTCAAGCCCAATAGGCTATTGTGTGAGGGAACATGTTAGAGAAATATATTATAAAACCATTATTATGGCCTTCACCTTATAATTTAAGCTTTTAGGTTAAATTGATTCTTTAAACGTATCTTTTTATTCTTTGGAGCTCAATGCTATGATATTCAAGGGCGAATGCATATTTATATTTGCTATTAAAAATGTGCTTTCCCATGGCTTTGTGGTGTTCTGCACATGGATTTTGATTTTCTGGGAATCTCATTGGTTTGGAAGACATGCTGATGGATTGGGAAGCTCTTGTATAGATAATTGGCTGCCTTTGTTTTTATATGCTTCTTTTTGTAGCTTTCTCCAATAGGAATTTTAGTTCTTTAAGTCGCATTCCTTTTCTTATACATAGTTTTCAGTTCTGATGAGCAATATAATTATTGAGCAATTTGTCTGGCTGGCGCTATATTCTTGCGGACCCTCTGACTCTCCTCTTTTTACTGTCTTACTCTTAAAACTCTACCCCCTCCAAAAAATAAATATCTATAAACTAGAATTATTGCAATCTATACAATGCTTATGCAACCATTATATTCTTGCTTCCAAACAGGCATGTTACAAATAAATAAACAATGCTACATAATGTATGCTTATATTTTTGCATATCGTTCCTTATATGAAGAATCTTGGGTACGCCAAACGAAGATACATGGCCTGGAGTGACTTCATTGCCTGATTTTAAATCAGCCTTTCCCAAGTGGCCACCTAAGGTAATTAAATTGATGTTTCTTTTAACTTGCAATAATTAATGTTGGGTTCTCATTGCTATAAGTATTTAACCTTATTTTGTACTTTTTGCAGGACCTGGCAACTGTGGTCCCAAATCTTGAGCCAGCTGGTCTTGATCTTCTTTCTGTAAGCTCAATATCAGATATAATATTTGTTAGATAATAAAAAGTAAACATTTGTGATTTTCATTGTAGATTAAGACCAAAGGTTATATTTATTTCATCATTAATGAAGAGAAAGTGCTTTTTCTTTTCTTAAGAAACAGGGATAAAACGAGAAATGCATTTTGAAGCTGTAATAGAAAGCATTAGTTGGCAATCTTCCTCGCAAGGTTTTAGATGAACACAACCTACATTTTGCACAAAGATGACTGGTTGTAGCTTAGACATCTTTCGTTATTTGGGCCTTGGAAAGGTTAACCATGCAAAATGGTGATATTAGGCCTCTAACCTTATCATTGCTATTTGTAAGGAACTTCATTAGTCATGATTCTACTAATTAGTAGTGTTCAACTCCATTAATTTTTTAACTGAAACGATGGGTAGAGTGATTGTCCTTTGTTTTTCTCATTGAGTTCTCTACAATGGTTCAGAGCAGCTTTACTTATCACCTGTATGGTGCGATTATTTGGTAACAATGCATTCAAGTATTTGATTTATAGTATAATGAAAGATCCCATGTCATTTTAATTTACTTAAATCATTTTTTCCCCCTATCCTCTATATCAATCCATATTCTGCATTTGAGTTTTCTTCATTTTAGATACTAATATGCAAGTTTTATGTGCTCCCTCAAAATTGTTTCTATTGATTTTCCTTGGTGCTTGCTTCAATGTATGTGTGTTGTATTCCAGAGTATGCTTTGCTTGGATCCCAGCAGAAGAATTACTGCCAGGAACGCTCTTGAACACGAATACTTCAAAGACATTAAACTTGTTCCCTGATTTCTTATCTTCACGGCAGAGGTGTTCATATTTGTATGTGTAGCATTTATGGGTTTTAACTCTCCGGGAAATGTGTGCTATCCTTTCTATTTTCGTCAATGCTTTGGGGCCGAGTCGTATTTTCTTTAGTTGTTCTCACAGATTTATTTTAGCTTCAGCTTGAGTGTGATTATATTGCCTGTTATCCTTTTTATGTCTCACTCTCAATATGATGCGACCGGCAAATTTTTAGTTTGCTTGATGTGTGATAGAGACTGCTGAATGCTTGCTTGTAGAACAATTCGGTTTTTATACTGGTATGGGGCATGTAAATTTGACTTGGGTTCTCGTTTGTAAGCTGCTTTTATCTGCTTTCTCAAATTGGTATCAGGAGATTAGTTCAATGAACATATGAAGCATAAATGTACGAGTAAATTACCCAAAATGATTATTTTTGTGGAAAAAAAATTGATAGCTATATATTACCAAACTAATGCTCAAATTTGTATTTATATAATAAAACATTAACAAATAATATTAAAAGCTAGAATTAAATTTTTTTGGGCAATCTATATTCATTATTATAATTTAAGAATATTGTATATTTTGACATTCGAGATAGATTTTTAATGTGTTGTATATCTTATTGAGGTAAGATATTTTCACTATCAATTTTTTGTATTATTACTCTAATTATCATTGGATTCAAAAGTTATTCTTCTTTTCTTTCTTTTTATTAAACTTTTCTTTTAATCCAATGGTAATTAAAGTTGTAGTGAAATGATAATAAAAAAAATTGGTAATAAGAATATTATACTCTATCTTATTTTGTTCGGATATTTTCCAACATATTTAGGTGTTTCCTCAAGTTTCTTGGTGTTCCTAAAATTACTTTTGGGTAAAATGTACTGCGTATAGTATTGGGCCATTGGCATACCTCAAGTTCTAAAATTAATGACTCCGATGCTTCTTAGATGGAAGCACAACCACTTCATCTGGGGAGGATTAGTAGCGTTTGAGCATCCAAGAAACAGAAATTGTTTTTAACATACGTAACATGCTGGACCTAATTGTGCGTAAGATATCTCTAGCAAGGCTTTTTGAACAAAAGTGATATTTAGTAACGGGCTGGAAGTGAATTGAATCTATGAACTGTGCGGGATCTGGAGCGCAGAAGATCCAAACAACTTGGCCCAAGATTGTTGTTAAATAGAGGTGACAAGTTTCAAGATCTGTTGACACAACTTGAGAAATTCATGCTTAAGTAGATTTGTTTTCAAATTTTTGTTATGCTGGTGTTAGCAAAACCTGACACAAAAATTTTGTTTTGCATTGTGTCAATCCACAAACACGACCCTGATGGTTGGGGGTTATTTGTATTATGTCGTGTCGATTCATAAAATAAGTTTATTGTATTTTTGGTGAAGGTCTTCACACAAATCTTTATTTGTGTTATATTCATGTATAATATATTTATTTTTGTGACAAACCTTGATCTGGCATGAACATGACTCTTATACGCATTGTCACCCCTGATGCCAAAATCAATGTGAAGGCTAAGCTTATTTGCTAGCAACAATGATCAAGTATAAGAAGTGCTTGAACTTGGCAAATGTTAAACGATTCATTTCATATAAGCCGGGTTGTCTTTAGCACCAATCTTCTCAACAAGGACGTTTGCTTATGAGACTAGGACGAAATGATACAAAAAATTAGTAATGCTTCGTCCTCTCATCATGCATTTTATCTTTTATATAGTGGATGGTGCTCTGACCATCACACATGACAATGGTCGAGTCAATTATTCCAACCAGAGCTTGTTGTTTAGGCCTTGAAGCCAAATGGCTTCCATCATGGCTTTTTATCATGGTCATGCATTTTGGCTCAAGTTGTACACGGCGAAAAGGAAAATATGCACTTGTCAAAATCATTCATATAGCCCGAATCAACAAACCCTTGCTACTTGTGCTCATAGAAAACTCTAAATCTAAACTGTTAATATCCTTAAGATATCTTATAATCTACTTCAGTGAAAAATGAATATTAACTCAGCTGGTAAGATTAAATCATTAAACTTAGTTGACTTAGAGGTCTTATTTTTCAATTTCTTCCGATATTCCTTTATTAATAACTCATCTGTAAATATTACTATAAATCATCCTTGAGTCTTGTGACATGCCTTGGATTTTTTTAACATGGACACAATATGAAAATTGTTTGAAATTTTCTCTATTCAGTTTAAATTTCTAACACCACGTATCTTTGTAGAGTGAATGGACCGAAAAACTACTCGCTTTAAGGCCATGTATGTAGCAGGTCTGAGGAGATCTTATATTGATATATTGTGTATCAAAGAAAATTGCTAGCAATAAAAATTAAACTAAATCCTACAATTACAAGCAGAATGCCTCGATCTTTAATCAAATATATTTAGGGCATAATATAAATTTAATACTAAGAATTATTTTCTTTATTAATTATCCAATTAAAACCCTAAAGAACATGGCGTGTAAGAGCAATTAATAAGCGAATACACGCTGTGTCGAGTTGTGGCACAAAATATGGTACAAGGGCATAATGATAGAATGGAAAAATTATAGTAATAGATTCTGGTATGTCTCACTTATGCTGTACATTAACACCATGTTCATGCAAAACTATTTGAGTAGAATGATGTTAACCTAGATTGGTGGTGTTACAGAAATATAAAATCATTAATGTAGTCTTATCTAACATCTTAAGATTTTGAGTTGAAATAGTTTTTTATATGGTATCAAAACTGAAGTGACCAAAAAGTCACGAATTCGATCTTCAACACCTCCCACTTTATGGTGAAAAGATAAACCAAAAAATAAAAAGAACTCGTGCAATATCCACGCTTCAATTAATCTATATTCGTTTAAACAAGTCGAATGTGAAAGTATATGGTAAACAACACCCACTTTTTTGCTGCTGTCAGCTTCACTAGCTTCTCCATGAAGCAGTGGAAGCTTTTCATTAGTGCGGGTCATTCAAGTTTGATTCTGCTGCAAAAATAGCATAAATTAAAGAGACAAAAACAGTAAAACCAGACATACTCCCCACCATTCAACAGATGGGGCCGATTCTCATTACCACAAACTATTAATTCGCTCATAATTAAATGTTATCCATTCATATATACAATACCATGGGAGAAAATTTCGATATTTCTCTTCAATTTTAAATATTTAGGCCTTGAATTTTTCTCATACGCTTCAGTGTGAACCTAGTATTCGCTGATCAAGATAATGATATTTCTCAATCACTAAGCTAAAACTTACTTACCACTTTAAATTACGATCTCTTGTTGATAGTCTCTCTCATTAACTTAATAAATCTTGTAAAAATTTTGTCACATGTTAAGAACCTTTTACTACTACGTACCTTTCATTAAATCATTTTAAGAAAAACTGTTAAATATTTTTGTTACTCATATAATTTCTAAATTGAATCATTAATCATGCGCTAATGCATGATTTAATTATTGAAGAATAAAGTTAAATATTTTTAAATTTGAAGATATTAAATATTTATGTTTCTCATTCAATAATTTCTAAATTGAATCATTAGTCAATGCCCTAATTATTATGCGCACCTTAACAAAAACAAAAGGGAGAACTAATGCAAAACACCACTAGGAAAGTATGAATGAATATTTAATTTCAAAGAACAGTTAGTGTTTAATTCATTACGAAGGATTACACAAAATTTATTTAGAAAGAATGATAATTATATTACATTTTGTTCCGTGTGAACACCAAACATAGGTTAAAATTATCGGTTAAGTGTATATGCTTGATATGAATAAGTGAGTCTAATCCAACTAAATCCCCTTCTATTGGTATTATTCTCGTATTTATATTGATCCTCATAAGCGGTTATCGTTAATGAATAGGGAGAAGTTCTAATAGTGATGGATGATGATCGTGGCGGTTACCTATATCATGGGTTTAGTATTGCAATATGAGAAATGATCGTGGGTTCAAACTCACGATTTGGACCCTTGTCTTGTAATTCAGGCTCATAGCCTAAGATATTAGTCATATACGTTATTCCGACTAAGAAAATCTTGAGCCAACACTTGGATTATGAGTTATGGGCCTAGCCGGGTTAATGAACCCAGGGTAGCTTGATGGACCTAACTAGGTTAACGAACCCAGAACACATTTTAAAAAACCTTAATAATAATAGTAATAGTAACTCAATAGGAATAAATAACTACTCAGTAACCAAAAAATAGTTATTATCAAAATTTTCATAGCTTCATATATCTTTTTACATATACAACTTAGTTTATTAATTTTACCTATTCGGTGGAGAAAATCACCACTTAATAACAAGTACTAATCAAAGATTTCTTATTAATTTCATGATCTAGTGTAAAACATCTCTACAACTGGTATATAGTCGGTCACGAATCTCATATCTAAAAGCAAATAATCAATAACCATACGAAAATCTCTTCTTGGCTTTATGGGATCCAACATAAAACTTATTTTATCATTATTAGTCATTCAGTATAAACAAATAACAACGGAATGGATCCTCTAATTTGTTGATTTTATATGTTGTCAACTGTTCATTTACACATCATAAGTCAACAATTAGAGTAATAATTTTTACTTTCTTGATTTATGAACTTCCTCATTAAAATTGTGATCATTGACATGCAAATGAATGATTGAGATCTTTCATATTACATTATTACATGAAATTAATGCACGAGAGGATCCAATTCCCAATTGAGTTTTATGTTGTCCTTCATTGTATTTCAACATTTTATATTCCTTAAAATTAGATATCCCTTCTTACTAGTTTTCGCATTAGTTCTCCTTAACAAAAATTCTTTCAATTCTTATTATTATTATTTTTGTAGATATTAAATCTTTATGCCTTTTAATTAATTTATTTTTTGTTTTACATAGGTATGTAAAATTGAGCTAAGAAATAGCATTTCTAAATGAATAAACAAGGGTAGAAGAATACTAGCAATCAAATTGACATTTATTCTACGATATATATATATATATATATATATAGTTTGCAAGTTCAATAATGTAAGGACACTGGAATTCGATAAACTTTTGCCTTACCCCAAAGACCAAAGCATGGAACGAAATTCCACTGATAATTAGAAACACAACACTGATAAGCTATTAATAAAGACCACACTTGGTGCATCTGTGAGCCCTACCACACTAAACAATCATGCATAGAATCCTGTCATTTCATTTCACTCAAACACACACATGGATGCATCATAATTATACGCACTAAGATGAGAAATATGAAACTGAATCAGCAACTCTATTAGGAGTTGTCCCATTATTTGAATTGGACAACTGAACAAAGCCACCATACCCTAAATCATTCACTTGTTCCTCCATTAACGACGACCCACTTTGCTTTTGTTGTTGTTGTTGTTGTTTTCTTCGTTTCTTCTTCTCATAAGCTATGCCTCTAGCTTTGGCTTGAGCATCTCTAACTTCCCTAAGGTAGAGTCTCACGGCACGTGCACCAAAAGGGTTCATCTCTTGGGTCCCACCGTTTTCTTCAAAAGCTGCACGCAATCGACCTATGAGAGCATCAAGGCTACCCCATGCTTGCTTCAATGGACATGGACATGGACCTGGTGGATGTGAATTCCCATAGTACGCGCATGTTTCAGAGTGAACCTTAGTTTTTCCAAACTGGTCCAAATAACGAAGAAACTCAAGAACATGTGCACCACTACAACGTGAGAGAGTTAATGGTGGACGGTGGTTTTTGAGGTACTGAACAAAGGTGTTCCAGTCACGTCTCTTTTGGGATTCGTACCTGCTCAAAGGAGGTGAAGGGACAGTGACTTGCACTGATCGTTTTGGTGTTAATGGTAATAACTGATCTTTGTGTTCACTGTTGGAGGAGTTGTGGTAGCCAGAGACGGCGGCGGCGGCGGCAGCGGCAGCCACAGCGGCGGACATGTTGAAGTTATTATGATGATGTTAAGTGATATATGTGTTGAGTACAAGATATATGTATGTGTTTGTGTTGAGTAGAAGATGTGTTCTATATTTGGTGGATTCTGGTGGGATATATAGTGGTTCTGAAAGTAGCTGTGTTAAAATTTGGTAAGAAGAATAATTTTGTCGTCTATTGACACTACTCAATTTGAATCAGATTATTCGAGTAATCTATGAACCGAGGAATAATATAAAAAAATAAATATGTGGTTTTTGTAATTAAGGCACTGTTGTTGTTCAGGTGGGTTTGGTTGGGGTTTGTCTAAAGCTAGCTAGCTGGCTTGGAGAAGGAAAAGTCGGTGATTTTGAAAAAATGATTTAGAGTTCAAAGTTCAGAGTTCATGAGATATGGTCAAATGGAAGAAGATAGGAGTTTGGTGTGATTTTGATAACATGGATGGATCCATTGTGTTAGTGAGCTAGGAGATGAATATAATAGGTTGAAATTGTTGCTCTTTGTTAACTAGGACTTTACTCAATCTAGTGGATAACAGAAGGGAAGCAGGGTGGGAGTGTTTGAGATGTAGGAGGAGTGTAAGTATAGAAAGATAATGAGGAATTTATAAAAAAAACTTGGGGGATATTAAGAATAGAAGAATTGAGGTTGAGGATGTGGAGAGGTAGGCTAGTTTAGTAGCTATAGGGAGACAAAAGAGGGGTCCATGCATTAGAGAGCAAGTGATGGCATTTTGAATAATACTTCAAAACGTCTACCTCAATCATTGATCACCCTTTGTTTCCTTTTCTTTTTTCTTCCTCTATATGCTTTAAAGTGGAGAAGAAAACAAAAGTGGGGAAACTTGTTTTGGCCTACCTCTTTAAGTAAAGTAAGTACAATTTTGACCATTAGACTCCATCGACAGGTAATTGTCAATTTACTCTCAGAGTCTCGTTTAACCCAAGACTTCAAACAAAAGGTTACGGATGTTCATCGACTAATACAAATCGATTCAAACTATGGTGACCGAACCAAAAAACTAATAATTGAATAAATCAAAAATTGAAAAACCGAAAAAAGATCGCAAGTTTTAATTGGATTGGATCGATTTTCGGATTAGTTGATGAAAACCGATCCAATTCAAACCGATCCAATATATTAATTTCTCTCTATCAACTTGGGCCTTTTCGCAATCATAGCCCAAAAATTTCTAAACCCAAGACTCATTAACCCATCAACTAAACCCAAGGAAAAATCTAGTCACATCTCATCAACAAAATTTCATCTGTGTAGAGCTTCATATCTCATTGCCGAAAAAAAACAAACTATATTATCGTTTATTGATGTTTTTGTATTTCAAATTTTTTTTTTTTTTTTTGGAGAAGGGATTTCAAAAACATTTTTTACAAAGCCAATATATACAAAAAAGATATTATTTGCACAATAATCATGAAATAAATTTTAGGATATTCAAAAAACCGAAAATCGATCCAACCTAAACCGAAAAAAATTGAATTGGATCTGATTGGATTTGAAAAAAAAATCCAAACCAAATTGATGATTACATGATCTAACCGAAGGCTTTGGATCGAATGATTTTTGCTTCCAAAACCGATCCAATCCAAACCGCAAACACGCTTACAAAGGGTTGGGACAATTTTTTTTTTTTTTGAGATATTCCAATCAATTCATCGCTTCGTAACTAGTCCGATTCGGGGTGAGTCTCGAGATTAAGACTTTAAACCCCTCTCAAAAACCATACTGGAGAGGATCGAACGCATGTTCTCACTCTCATCTGCTCAATTCTCTGACGCCAACTGAGCTACCATTATTTGGTGACAATTTTCCTTTGTAGGCGCCAATTTTTTTGGAAACTGATCCTAATTACCTCTTTGAGGCGAATCAGAATTCTCCGGTATCCCTACGAGTTCAACTCTTTGAGCCGCCTATTGGACTAATCCAGAGTTCGGGTGCGAGTCCAAGGATTACGGTACTTATGCCCCTCCCGAAATGGTGTTGGTGGGATTCGAACCGAGGTCCTCTTCCACCACTCAGTTCTCATGCTACCAACTGAGCCACCACACTTACGGTATTTATGCCCTTTAATATGGATTAGGAGTAAAATGAAATTCATACTATAATTCTTATTTAAAAGAGAAAGTAACTAAAATAATAATAATAATTATCTTATATTTAGTTTATATATTTTATAAGTATTTTTAAGTGATAACATAATAATTGTAAATTGAATATATTTCACACTATATGCTTATATGAAATAATAGTTAAATTTTCTTTAACTTAAATGCTTAAATACATATATTTAATTTTTATTTTCGAATTAGCTCCGAAGATATTTCTCGCTTTCTCTCTCTAGCATTGGCGAGGAAGATAAGATGTATTGACATCCTAGGCTTCGGCGCCGCAACTGTTTCCAAGTTTCGTTGTCTTGGTCTCATCGTATTACCAACGAATGTAAGGGTAAATTATCCATTCAATAATGGAATATAGGGAAAAATTCTTCCCATGTTGCATTATAGTTTCGGAGAATGCCAAGACTAAATAACCAAAGAAAAAAAGAGATGAACATTAAATATGATAAAACTATAGGAAAAATGTTTATCCTTTTAAATAACACAATTTATATTTTTTCACTATCAGAAAGAAGTGAGACTCACACCTTTAATTTTTTTGTCAACTCTCTTTCCTCCTTTATCTATTTCTTTCTCTCTCTTAAAATGACATAAATTTACATCCTTTAAAATAATACACACTTTACCCTAAAACTATATTCATTTCTACTTTTTATGGGTTAAGTGGATCTTTTTTAAAAGGATACAAGTTGTGTTCTTTTAGTGACTTACACAAAGTCTGACTCGTAAGACTTTATGTAAATATGAAAAATTGATTTTTGTTTTACTTTACACTTCAACGATGTGACTGAGAAGAAGAAAAAAATAACTTTTCAGATTTACACAAAGTCTTACTAGCCAAATTTTGTGTAAATATTCTAAAGAGACACAAGTTTATATCTTTTTAAAGGATCTTCTTTTTCCCACTTTTTATTCATATAAAAAAAATGAAGTTCTCGAAAAAAAATTGGGCGTAGAAATCTAGTTTTGTACAACATATGTGTGTATCAGTATATCCAATGTGGTAACTAACCAGAATAAAAATGTTTGGTTTATTCGTTAACAAAGATAAACAAGAGTTATTTACTAAAACAAAAAAAAAAAAGATAAACAAGAATAAATAAAATTTGTGTGTGATACGGAATAGTGGTAGCTCATTTGGTAATAAGTGGGCTGAGTAAATGAAAAGGAGAGGACCTAAATTCACATGCCACATTTGAAAGGGGTTTAAATATCTTCATCTCTGATTCGTCCTGCACTCTGAATTAATCTCATAGCCGGCTCAAAGAGTCAAAACTTATGGCCTCGCACTCCGAATTAGTCTCATAGTCGGCTCAAAGAGTCAAAAGTTATTATGGGATAGCAGGGAGCCAACTTGCCTCAAAAAAGTAATTATGGTTGGTTTAATTTAAAAAAAAAAAAATTGGCGTGTGATGGCACCCATGCATGACGTAAAAAACCATTTCAATCCAAAAGCTTAAACTATTAAGTGAAAGCCTATCAATGATTTTATATACTTCTCTAACGCACCCTTTCACAAGAGAACCCATTAGGCTTGAAAGGTAGATGATTCATCAGGTCCGGCCTACCTGTGCTAAGAAATTTCACACAAAAAATGAAGGGCATCGAAGATTAAACTCAAGACACCGAGCATCTGATATCATGTAAAGAACCATTTCAACTTAAAAGCTTAATCAATTATGTAAAAGTGTCTCTAACAACCCTGATGTTAAGAAAAGAAACTTTGTAAGATTTAAAATTACATGAAAAGAAATTTAAAAATATAACTATATATTTATTATTATTATTATTATTATTGTTGTTGTTGTTGTTTTTTATTGTTCCAATGTGTCTACATATCCTCTTAAAAGAGGATTTTTCTTACACTATTAGGAGGTGTTTGGAAGAGTTTTTCCCAGTTTCCTAGCTAAGTGCAGAAGGTATTCTCAATTCCCCATATTTGTTTCACGGATATGATGAATTTTATCCATCAAAATCACTTGCCTATCAATCCACAATTGCATGTAAAAATCAATAAATTCAGACAGCTAAATGGAAGGTGGTATTTAGCAAAAAAACTGGCTAAGTTATTCAAGTGGTAAAAAAGGATGACAACATTACCCTTGACACGTGAGCAAAGTTTGCAGAAATCCATCACTCATTCAACTTGCATATGTTCTGAAAATGGTATGACTGAAGAAACCCAAAACTCACATCCATTGGCGTAGCTTGTCGAAGGTGGTTCCCATCATGAGTGTCGATCATCCGCGTCAAAGAAGTTAGTGGTTTAGGGTCCGGCTGATTGTGCATGTCTTATGCTTTGCAGGAAGATGAGGTAATCAAATGGATCTACCTCTTGACATCTGTAGCTTGGTTATATGGCAAAAAAGAAAATTTAAATGAGTTCTGGGTCATGCTTATTGATAAATTTGATTTGATGGGCAGTAAGACGGTGATATTTTTTATTGTCGTTTGAAGACAATATTTATTGCCGTTGGAAGACAAAGACGGAGAAAACATTATTTATTGTCGTTGGAAGGTTGTAATAAAATAGGGTTATTTTTATAAGGATATTTTTGTAATTTCATTAAGTTTTCCTATCAATATTTTATCTTTAATCAAACATACATTGAGAAATTTCAATCAATTTTTCTGGTAAAATTTTGTCCAACCAAATAACTTTTTTAAAACTTTCTTATCTAACTCATTTTCCCTGCAGATCCTTAGTATTTACATTTTCCTAGTAAAATTTTTTTTACCTCAACCAAACACCCCTTTAGAGTAGTTATTAAGCACAACCAATCAAAAGCTTAAAATACTTTAAAATAATAATAATGAAAGACAACAAAGTTCTTTTTGAAATTATTTTAATATCATACTGAATTTCTTGGTTGCCTTTTTCAATATTTTTTCCCTTCATTTTTGTTTTTCTTTCTTTCTTTCTTTCTTTCTTACCTCTCTCACGCTTTGATCTGTAATTTTCTTCATTCTCTTTTACGCTCTTTTTCATTTTCTTCACTCTTTTACTTTTGGCTTTTTTTTCTCCATCTTCTCTCTTATTTCTGATTTTTTTTTTTCTTTTTTGGGTTCATGGAAACCCAATTTTCAGATAACAAGGCAAAATAATACCTAAAAATCGCTCAAGTCTTACATATTTGAAATGATAAAATAAAATCTAGTACCAAAAAAAAAACAACATAGACATATATAGCTTGAGTGTTAGTGGGAGCGTGAAAGAAGTCTCATGGATTAGCCTTTTAAGTGAAGAAAAAGCAGGGTTAGAGAGAAGGCAATAGGCCAGTGCTTAACTAAGCATTATAATTCTGAATACTCTTAACTAATTTTTCTTTAATTTTTTTTTTTTTGGTTCGTAATTTATATTTCACCAAAATTTAATAT